ACCTCTGACCAGTCCCCCAGCGAGCAGGCGGCCTTCAGCGGCTTGGCTCAGTTCTCCTCCCCAGCTGTCTCCACTGCTGGGGCCTCCCACCTCAAAGATCTGTGTCCCAGCCAGGGCCAGAGCAACGCCCAGGCCCAGAGCCAAGAGGAGCCCTGCCTGGAAGCCTGTGACGCGGCCAAGATCTCCACCACCACGTGGTCTCAGGAGGGCAGACGTGGTGGCCAAGGCCAAGGGGCACCTCTTCGGGGCCGAGCCCAGGCGGCCGGTCCCTGGGCAGCGGGCGGCTGGACAAGGCGTCGCCCGACTTGCATCACAGCGCGGCCGCCGTGTCCTCCAGCATCCCAGGAGGAGCCCTGGAACCCGGGCTGCCACGTCCAAGGCCCAGGAGGCGTGCACACTGCCTCCTGCTGGGGTAAAGGCAGAGTGCTCCCTGGGTCCTGACAGCTCCTGAGTTATGGCTGCAGCCGCACCCAACAGGACTCCGGGTGAGGTCCAGGTTTTAAAGCTGAGTCCCTTGTGTAATGTTCCCCACTGGTGGTGGCCTGGCCAGGACCCACCCCCATCTGCCTGACCCCAAGGCAGGACTCACCCCCTCCATGGTGAGTATTCGGTGTCACCCTTAACCTGAAGTCAGGAGCCACTGAGGAGGCCAGGGTAGTCCTGGTCTGTGACAACTTGCTGTGTGACCTCGGGCAGGTTTATGAACCCTCCTGAGGGTCAGATTGCCGTTCTCCCCAGTTCATGAGGGTGGTGGACTGGACGCTCTTTGGGGGTGACCAGCCCCAGATAACCACGTGTGATTCCAACTGTCAGCACCAGGTGGCAGAAGAGACTGTGACTTGGCTTCCACACATCAAGTTGACAGCAGCCATTGAGCCAGTCTGAGGTCACCTTCATGGTCCAGACAGTGGGAAGCCATAGCAACACACACTGGGCTGTTCACTACCCGCCCCCCCCCCCCATGAAAAAAGCATGTGGTCTTCGGGGGCATGGGAGACCAGAACTGAGGGCCCCACCAGGAGCAGGAGCAGGAGGCCTCAGTGTTCACCCTAAGGTGGGGAGGAGCAAGGCCTGGGGACCCTCAGCCTCAGGGTAGGGGTGGCTCAGCCAGGGGCCCGGCAGGTGCAGTGACCACAGAGGGTGAGGTGGGTGGCCAGACGGGGAAGCCAGCAGACACTGGCCTGGTGGGCTCTGCTCCTGTGGTCAGGCCTGGAAAGGGTCCTCTCCTGGGAGCACAGGGGACAGCCCTCAGGGCGGTGCCCTCCCTTTTTCTGGAACAAACTGGACCCCTAGAAGGGAGGACACACGGAAAAAATTTCCCAAGTGATTCCTTCTCACAGTGCGCTGGCATTTTAAGTGGAAAGCAATGCACACACATCCCTGTGTTTCTATCCCTCTGGCCTTGGCCCCATCGAAAGAAGGGCCCTCACCGCTGTGGGAGTTTCCCAGACTCCTCCTACCCCCACGTCCCCCTCCTTCCAGCTCAGCCTGTCCACCTGGGGAGACCTGGAGCGCATCACCTGGGCGGGGTCAGGGCCCGCACACCTGCTGCTGCGGGGTCTCCGCTGGCCGGCCCTCCCTCACCCTCACCTCGTCCTCTCTAGTCACTCTCCCCTCAGGGGCACCCCAGACAGCCCTAGGCCACCAGAGACAGGCCCCACCCACCCATGGGTACCTGGCTGTTCCCACCACAAAAACCATAAAGATGACGGTGGCCAGTATCCCCCAAAACCGCTGGCCCTGTGACCCTCCCAGAGAGCTTATAAATACAGATTCCCAGGTCCCCGGGCTCCCGGATGGAAGTGTGCGGGCTGGAGGCTAGGAGCCTGTGTTCTTCGTTATCCCCCAGCTGATGCCTGTGGCCAGCAGACCTGGGAGACTCTGGGAAGCGGAGGCCGCGTCCCTGGGCACAGGAATGGGCAGGGAGAGGTCTCTGAAGCTGCCTCTCCCATCCCAGGTCACCCTCTCCTCCCACCCAAGATCAGACTTGAATGGAGTCACCTGGTTTTGGAGCAAGAAAGAGCCACGCCCCCTCTGGATCCTAGTTTCCACCTTAAGCAGCAGTAGCAGGAAAAGCATTCACTGCGCACCTACTGTGTGCCAGTGCTGTGCCAACCACATTGGAGTGTGGTAGCCCCCATTCAACCCCCTCCTGCCTCATAGAAGCCGGCATGGGGTTTGACTGTTAGGGGTGAGATCCAGGATTCAGGGCTGAGTCTCTTGTCTGGTGTTACCCACTGGTGGTGGGCTGGCCAGGACCCACCCCATCTGCCTGACCCCAAGGCAGGACTCACCCCCTCCATGGTGAGTATTCGGTGTCACCCTTAACCTGAAGTCAGGAGGCACTGAGGAGGCCAGGGTAGTCCTGGTCTGTGACAACTTGCTGTGTGACCTCGGGCAGGTTTATGAAGCCTCCTGAGGATCAGATTGCAGTCCTCCCCAGTTCATGAGGGTGGTGGACTGGACACTCTCTAGGGGTGACGAATTCCAGATAACCACGTGTGATTTCAACTCTCACCACCAGGTGGCAACAAGTCCATACCTTGGCCACCCACACATCAAGTAGGAAAAGACATTGAGCCTGTCAGTGAGGTCACCTTCATGGTCCAGACAGTGGGAAGCCCTAGCAACACACATCAGGGCTGTTCACTACCCCGCCCCCCCCCCCTGGCCCCCCTATGAAAAAAGCACATGGTTTTAGGGGGCATGGGGAGACCAGAGGTGAGGGCCACACCAGGAGCAGGAGGCCTCAGTGTTCACCCTAAGGTGGGGAGGAGCAAGGCCTTGGGCCCTCAGCCTCAGGGCAGGAGTGGCTCAGCCAGGGGCCCGGCAGGTGCAGTGACCACAGAGGGTGAGGTGTGTGGCCAGACAGGGAAGCCAGCAGACACTGTTGTCCCCTGCTGGCCGGGGCGTGGCTTGCACATGGCACTGGAAGTAAGGGCAGTTCTGGGAGGGGCTGGAGGCCGCTTACTTCTGACTCTGCTCAAGGCCACTGTTGGGGGTCACCGCGTAGGTCTGGTGGGGAGGGGGCCACACCCAGGCTCGTTCGCAGGTTCCTGCAGGGGCTGCTGCTCCTGGCGGTTTCCTGTGAAGATCCAAATCCAATGCGTAGTGAGGACACGTGGCCTCCGTGGGGCAGCTGGGGGTGATGCCCAGCTGTCCCCTCCTGAGTCCACCCTCACTCTGACTGCCAGTCCCTGAGGACAGGTGACCCTCCGCCCGCAGGCTGCACTGGGGCCTGGGGTGGCTGAAGCACATGAGCACACACTGGCCGCTTCCCTTGGCCCTCTGAGTCCAAGATGCCAGGTTTAGTAGGGGAGACCTCCCCAGTGAGCCAACAGGATCACACGCAGGTCACACACAGACAGGGTACCCTTTCCTGAGCAGCATCTTCAGGCGCAGACTCCCAGCCACTGGGGGCTCCGAGGGTGGAGAGGGAGCAGGTGGAGGTCGTACCGCAGGCGGCCACCCCGTCCGGGGGCAGCCAGGCAGGGCTCTGGGCATTGCCCGCCCTGCAGCCAGGCTCCAGCACCGGGAGGCCGGAGACCCGATCCCATTGCCCACCAGGAGCGGAGGTCCCTCTCATGTCGGTGTCCAGAGGGAGCCCTTAGCCGGGAGTCCAGGCTAGTGGCTGTGTGGTGCGCTACACGCCATTCCCTCGGTCTGGCACAGTACTCGCCATGGCTGTCCTGGCGAACAGTGACTGCACATGTGAAGGTCAGACGTGTCCAGAATCCCCTTCTGCTCTTGTTCTGAACACTGGTTCTTGGCCAGCCTCGCTTGAGTCGGGACAGGTGTATATCAAAGCCAAACTTTCTTTTTTCTAAAAAATACAACTTATTCTGATTTTTTTCTATATTTGAATCTTTATAAATTAACAAGGGGAATGACTACTTTCAACCTGCCCGGGCTTCTCAAGTTCACTCCCTAATCCTCCTCACCTCAACACACCAGATGCTCCACTGCTCTCATCCGGTGTAGGAGTTAATAATGGTCGATTTTGTCATTAAAACAACAACAACAACAACACACGATTATATCAAAGGAAACATCAAAAGTGCTTTATTCGCCAAAACCAGTTTGGCTCAATGGATAGAGCGTTGGCCTGCGTACTCCAGGGTCCCGGGTTCAATTCCGGTCAAGGGCATGTACTTGAGTTGCGGGCACGTCCCCAGTAAGGGGTGTGGAAGAGGCAGCTGATCCATGTTACTCTCTCCTCGATGTTTCTGGCTTTCTATCCCTCTCTCTTCCTCTTTGTAAAAAATCAATAAAATATATATATATGTACATATATATATATATATATATATATTTTTTTTTTTAAGTGCTTTATTCAAAGTACTGCCCATTGTATCTACACATTTCCCCCATCTTTTGGGTAATTTGTGGATATCATCCCAATAGAATTTTTCTTGTTTGGAGGCAAACCATTCACAGACCCAAACTTCCACTTCTTCATATGGTTTGAAATGCTGCTCAGAGCGTGCGTGTGCCGTCCATCAGTACCTGTTTTGGCGCCTGTAATTATGCCCTCGGTTCCTGTCAGGCAAAGGCCCAGCCTAAGGCCCGAACTATCGGGTCTAGTAATAATTAATGTCGTTTTTAAACATTCATTTAAAATCTTCCTTGGCGTTGACTTGTATTGACATAACCTTCAAACACGTGGTATCTACAGAACGTGTGAAGTGCAATTAACAAGTTTTGCTTGAAAAATTTTGTGTTTGGTTTGGTTTTTGTTGCAAAACTAGGGCTAAGAAGATGGCGGATGAAGAGCATATTTGGCACTGCATGCTTTACGAGTTCCAATTAGGAAGAAAAGCAAGTGAGGCTGCAAAAAACATCTGTAGTGCTCTTGGTCAAGATGTAGTTAGCGCCAGAAAATGCCAGCGTTGGTTTGAGAAATTTCGCGAGGGAAATTTTTCGTTAGATGACAAGAGTGGTTGAGGCCGTGTGTCCAATTTTGATCAAGAAGCTCTTCAAGCTCTTTTGGTGCAAAATTCTCAAATTACCCAACAAGAGCTTGCGACAACTTTAAATTGTTCACAAAAAACAATTTCCAATCAATTGCGTGCACTTGGCAAAGTCCAAAAGTTTGGAAAATGGGTTCCTCATGACTTGACCGACAACAACCGTAATCAAAGAGTCACAATTTGCAGTTCGCTCCTCTCTCGTCTAAACCGTTTGCCGTTTTTAGAGCAAATTGTTACTGGAGATGAAGAATGGGTGCTGTATGTTAATTTGAAAAGGCGGCCTCAATGGTTGGACAAAAATGAGGCTCCGCAGACCACGCCAAAACCTGACTTGCATGCGAAAAAAGTGATGTTGTGTATTTGGTGGAATTTTAAAGGAATTCTTCATTATGAACTTTTACCATCTAACCAAACCATTACAAGTGCAGTGTATAGTGCCCAATTGGAAAGGTTAGCCCAAGCTTTAAGAGAAAAAGAACCCGCGCTGATTAATCGGAAGGGCGTAATTCTTCACCACGATAACGCACGACCGCATACTGCAAGAATCACTGCTGAAAAACTGCGCCAGTTGGAATGGGAAGTTCTCCCTCAACCTGCATATTCTCCTGATATTGCGCCTTCCAATTACCATTTGTTTCATTCTTTGCAAAATTTTCTTCTTGGAAAAAAAATTTAATAATGAAGAATGCCTCAAAAATGCATTGACCGAATTTTTTGCATCAAAATCCCAAGAATTTTACAACAGAGGGATTAAAATGCTTCCTGAGCGTTGGGCACAAGTAGTAGAAAACAACGGCAACTATATTGTTGATTAAATTTTGTTGTATTGTTTAAATAAATTCTATTTTAAAAAGTATTAGAAAACGACATTACTTATTACTAGACCTAATATGATTGCACAGGTGAGCATTCCAGGGACGATCAAGGAGACGGGCCTGTTGGCTGTGGCCTTGCACGGGACTGTGGCCGTGGCTGTGGCAGTGGCTGTGGCCGTGGCTGATGCAGCTGTAATGGAAGCAGGAGAGTGAGAGCCGTGCAGAACCCAGTTCCATGGAGAGGCCCTCAGCCCCGCTGTCCGGGGACCCTGCCGGACAGTGTCTGCCTCTGCGTGTGGCCGCCCAGGGACAGGTCCTGGGGTTGGAGCAGAGGGAGGAGGTGGGCCCGGGCCCTTGGGGCTCACACAGCTAACGGGGAAGCAAGGCTGACAGTAGTCACGCCTGCTGGGACAGGAAGGAGGAGAGGAGGGGAGGAGGTGGTAGAGAATCCTCCCAGGAGCTACTGACTGAGGAGTGTTAAAGGATTCCAGAAACAGACCAGGGGAGCTGAAGAAGACAAACGATGCTGAGAAGAGTGAACAGGACACGGAAAAGGTCTGGCAACAGATCCATGCCCGCAGGTTTGCAGTCAGCAAGAAACCACGTGAGTGAGTGGCCCAGGGTATGTGCAGGCAGAGACTGAGGAGGTGGGAAACCACAGCAGGGATCCCAGAACACACCTGTGGTCCTTATTCTCCAAAAACCCTCACCGTGGAGGATGGATCACTTTCTCAATCACACACACTACATACCACACACACCACACATCACACACACCACACACAGTGTGAATGTCATTTCAAGGGACCTACAACCCCCCTCCCTCTGCAGAATTACCTGGTGTGCTCAGGGGACACAACACTTGTTGAAGCCACTGCCTACAGTCTCCAGTTGAGGTCATAACCAGGAGGTGGGTCATAGCTCTGTCACCCGCCAATGCTGTCTTTAACCGCCTGCCTTGGCCGCACAACACCGTCCAGTGTTTATTTGTTGAGTCAAAGAGGAGAGACGGCTGTCCGTCCGATCCAAACTGCCAGGATGCGCTGGTGCGCCCACTGGATTCCCGCTCACACGCCAGGCTGCCCTGCAGGGCGAGAGGACCTGTCCCCAGCACCGTGGGAAGGTCAGCCTTGGATCTGGCAGAGCCTCCACTGGTGTCCAGCCCCCCGCTCCCCTCTTTCTCCTGGTCCTGCTCTGTCCTCTGAGGCTCCCAGTCTCATGGGGGGACCAACTTCCCACATTTACCCAAACGCAACTGAGCCCTCAGCCCTCACCTCTGTTCTGCCTGTGCCCCGGGTTCGGTGAACTCACCGCCGGCTGCAGGAATCTCTGCTCTCATGTCAAGCAGGAGCATCCTGAGCTCTTCCACCACGGACTGCAGAGTGTCTCTCTGCTCGCCCCAGGCCCGTGTGGCATTCATGTCCGGAACACTGGTGAGTGTGAACTGGCCACCACAGGTAAAATGAAGAAATGTGTTCCCATTGACCCGGCCCTCAATGTCACACCACGGCTGTCCATTAGTCCTGACTGTGAAGTTATAGCGCAGAGAGACGGCACCTGTGAGGGAGACACGCAGGGGCTGGAACAAAAGCCACCCAAGGGCCACTCCCTCATCCCTGACAGCAAGTGACCCCCTGATGCTGGGCGGCCCTTGTCCCGTTCGGTTCAGATGGCAGGGCCTCCGCTCCCACTTTGGAGAAGCTTTAAGGGGGGAGGGGAGGACGACGACGACAGGATGGGGGGACACACACCTGCCATGGGGCCTGGGCGGAGGAGGGGCTTTATCAGAACCCCCGGGTCCTCCTGGCTCCCATCTTCCTCCTGGTCCCTTCGCCCAGGACCATTTCTGACAAGTCACAGGCTCAGGTCCGTCCCTCTCACTGGAAAGAGGCAGCCAGGTACGCGGAAGCCCAGAGCAGAAAGGCGCCCGCAGAGATGATGGTGGAGCGATGGGGGGGTCTGTGTCCCACCAGAGGGAATCCCAGTGTGGGCTCCCCGCCCATTCCATCCCTCAGGTCCCCCTCTCAACGCTGGTCCCTGATAGGGCCTCCCTTCCTCCAGTTGATGGACAGACATAAACCCCACCTGTGGTCAGACATCCCTGAGCACTGAACCACCAATCAGCACCTGCCAAATACCCTGAGCCCCCGATTCCTAAGTCCCTAGGTCCCTCATCATAGGCCTTACATGGAACCACCAATCAGCGTGTGCTGAGTGCCCTAAGCCCCCTCTCCTATCCTCCCCTTAAAAGTAAATGGACCCCAGCCCTCGCTCTCTTCTGCGCGCGCTCTCTCTCTCTCTCTCTCTCTCTCTCTCTCTCTCTCTCTCTCTCTCTGTAACCAGCCGGCAGTGGTACTCTTCTCTTCAATAAAGCCTGTGTCCTGGCACCCCGGTCTCCGGGCCCCTCTTTATTTCATCTTTCAGTCCCTCGCCCCAGATTGCATTGCCCAACTCACAGTGTGGAGCAGCAGATCCCCGAAGCAGAAGGGAGAGCAAGAAGATGGCGCTGACACCTTCATACCCAGACCGCACCATCTCCACTCACAGCAGCAGTGCACCCTTCCAGGACGCAGGTTAGAAAGTCTCCAAAGTTCCCGCCTGGGCTGCCCAGCGCCCGCCCCCGGTGCCACTCCATGCATCCTCATTGGCCCGGCCAGCCTGGCAGCACAACTGGATGCCAGTGAGGAAGCACATTCCAGGCCTTGTGCCGTTTACCCGCCACCTACCTGCTTTCCTCACTTCCGCCCTGGTCACCTCACTCCCGCCCTGGAAGGATCCCTCACTCCCGCCCTGGACGGACGCCTCACACCGGCCCTGGAACACTCACTCCTGCCCAGGGCCTTTGCTCTCACCGCCGGCCTTGGTGCCTCATTCCAGGCTCTTGCATCCCCTGCCTGCAGATTTGGCCTGCTACTCCCCACCCCCCCACCCACCCAACATCCCAGTTCGGGGCCTGGAGAGGGTGGGAGTGCAGGGTGAGGGCTTATAAACAAGCAGGGAATTCTATTCAGTGAAAACACCTCAACAGTGTCACAGCCTGCCTGCCTGCCACCCCTCTGCTAAGGCCCCTCCACTGCTGGGGCTGTAATTCTTGTAATATTTCACCCCACTCCCACCCCCCAGCCCTCTGGCCTTATACCACGCCAGGTCTTCTTCCCCCCATTGCCTATCACCCTCTCTAAAAGGGCACACGATTCCAGGGATAAACCAAACACGCCATGGGAAGGCAGAGCGTGGGGACTGTGGCTGAGAACACTGTATTGTATCAGGAGGCACATCTAACACTTCAGAAATTAATTTATAAAAATAGTGGCTCCAAAGCACAGGTTCCCAAAGCCAGTGCCTCTTCAGACACAGCCCTGCTGGCCTTGGAGGGCGGGCTTGCAGGCTGCATGGGGCTGGGAGACCAATCCGACCTGCAGGGCCAGGTGGTGAGGGAACCAGTCCACCAGGCATGGCTGCAGAACACTGAGGCCCCCTGCTGGCCGGGCCAAGCCTTGCAGATGGCGCTGGAAGGAAGGGCAGTTCTGGGAGGGGCTGGAGGCCCTTACTTCTGACTCTGCTCAAGGCCATTGTTGGGGGTCACCGCGTAGGTCTGGGGGGGAGGGGGCCACACCCGGGCTCGCTCGCAGGTTCCTGCAGGGGCTGCTGCTCCTGGCGGTTTCCTGTGAAGATCCAAGTCCAATGCGTAGTGAGGACACGTGGCCTCCGAGGGGCGGCTGGTGGTGATGCCCAGCTGTCCCCTCCTGAGTCCGCCCTCACTCTGACTGCCAGTGCCCAAGAGCAGGTGGCCCTCCGCCCGCAGGCTGCACTGGGGCCTGGGGTGGCTGAAGCACATGAGCACACACTGGCCGCTTCCCTTGGCCCTCTGAGTCCAAGATGCCAGGTTTAGTAGGGGAGACCTCCCCAGTGAGCCAACAGGATCACACGCAGGTCACACACAGACAGTGTACCCTTTCCTGAGCAGCATCTTCAGGCGCAGACTCCCAGCCACTGTGAGGTCCGAGGGTGGAGAGGGAGCAGGTGGAGGTCGCACCGCAGGCGGCCACCCCGTCCGGGGGCAGCCAGGCAGGGCTCTGGGCATTGCCCGCCCTGCAGCCAGGCTCCAGCCCTGGGAGGCCGGAGCCCCGATCCCATTGCCCACCAGGAGCGGAGGTCCCTCTCATGTCGGTGTCCAGAGGGAGCCCTTAGGCGGGAGTCCAGGCTAGTGGCTGTGTGGTGCGCTACACGCCATTCCCTCGGTCTGGCACAGTACTCGCCATGGCTGTCCTGGCGAACAGTGACTGCACGTGAGAAGGTCAGACGTGTCCAGAATCCCCTTCTGCTCTTGTTCTGAACACTGGTTCTTGGCCAGCCTCGCTTGAGTCGGGACAGGGTTTATATCAAAGCCAAACTTTCTTTTTTCTAAAAAATACAACTTATTCTGATTTTTTTCTATATTTGAATCTTTATAAATTAACAAGGGGAATGACTACTTTCAACCTGCCCGGGCTTCTCAAGTTCACTCCCTAATCCTCCTCACCTCAACACACCAGATGCTCCACTGCTCTCATCCGGTGTAGGAGTTAATAATGGTCGATTTTGACATTAAAACAACAACAACAACAACAATACACGATTATATCAAAGGAAACATCAAAAGTGCTTTATTCGCCAAAACCAGTTTGGCTCAATGGATAGAGCGTTGGCCTGCGTACTCCAGGGTCCGGGGTTCAATTCCGGTCAAGGGCACGTACTTGAGTTGCGGGCACGTCCCCAGTAAGGGGTGTGGAAGAGGCAGCTGATCCATGTTACTCTCTCCTCGATGTTTCTGGCTTTCTATCCCTCTCTCTTCCTCTTTGTAAAAAATCAATAAAATATATATATATGTACATATATATATATATATATTTTTTTTTAAGTGCTTTATTCAAAGTACTGCCCATTGTATCTACACATTTCCCCCATCTTTTGGGTAATTTGTGGATATCATCCCAATAGAATTTTTCTTGTTTGGAGGCAAACCATTCACAGACCCAAACTTCCACTTCTTCATATGGTTTGAAATGCTGCTCAGAGTGTGCGTGTGCCATCCATCAGTACCTGTTTTGGCGCCTGTAATTATGCCCTCGGTTCCTGTCAGGCAAAGGCCCAGCCTAAGGCCCGAACTATAATATGATTGCACAGGTGAGCATCCCAGGGAGGATCCAGGAGACAGGCCTGTTGGCTGTGGCCTTGCACGGGACTGTGGCCGTGGCTGTGGCAGTGGCTGTGGCCGTGGCTGATGCAGCTGTAATGGAAGCAGGAGAGTGAAAGCCGTGCAGAACCCAGTTCCATGGAGAGGCCCTCAGCCCCGCTGTCCGGGGACCCTGCCGGGCAGTGTCTGCCTCTGCGTGTGGCCGCCCAGGGACAGGTCCTGGGGTTGGAGCAGAGGGAGGAGGTGGGCCCGGGCCCTTGGGGCTCACACAGCTAACTGTGAAGCAAGGCTGACAGTAGACACGCCTGCTGGGACAGGAAGGAGGAGAGGAGGGGGGGAGGTGGTAGAGAATCCTCGCAGGAGCTACTGACTGAGGAGTGTTAAAGGATTCCAGAATTAGACCAGGGGAGCTGAAGAAGACAACCGATGTTGAGAAGAGGGAACAGGACACAGGAAAAGGTCTGGCAACAGAACCATGCCCGCAGGTTTGCAGTCAGCAAGAAACCCCGGTGAGTGAGTGGCCCAGGGTATGTGCAGGGAGAGACTGAGGAGGTGGGAAACCACAGCAGGGATCCCAGAACACACCTGTGGTCCTTATTCCCCAAAAACCCTCACCATGGAGGGTGGGTCAGCTTTCTCAATCACACACACCACATACCACACACACCACACACCACAGATCACACACAGTGGGAATGTCATTTCAAGGGACCTACAACTCCCCTCCCTCTGCAGAATTACCTTGTGTGCTCAGGGGACACACCACTTGTTGAAGCCACTGCTTACAATCTCCAGTTGAGGTCATAACCAGGAGGTGGGTCATAGCTCTGTCACCCGCCAATGCTGTCTTTAACCGACTGCCTTCGCCGCGCAACACCGTCCAGTGTCCATTCATTGAGTCAAAGCGGAGAGATGGCTGTCCGTCCGATCCAAACTGCCAGGATGCGCTGGTTTGCCCACTGGACTCCCGCTCACACGCCATGCTGCCCTGCAGGGCGAGAGGACCTGTCCCCAGCACCGTGGGAAGGAGGTCAGCCTTGGATCTGGCAGAGCCTCCACTGGTGTCCAGCCCCGGCTCCCCTCTATCTCCTGGTCCTGCTCTGTCCTCTGAGGCTCCCAGTCTCGTGGGGGGACCAACTTCCCACATTTACCCAAACACAACTGAGCCCTCAGCCCTCACCTCTGTTCTGCCTATGTCCCGGGTTCTGTGAACTCACCGCCGGCTGCAGGAATCTCTGCTCTCATGTCAAACAGGGGCACCCTGAGCTCTTCCACCACGGACTGCAGAGTGTCTCTCTGCTCGCCCCAGGCCCGTGTGGCATTCATGTCCGGAACACTGGTGAGTGTCAACTGGCCACCACAGGTAAAATGAAGAAATGTGTTCCGATTGACCCGGCCCTCAATGTCACACCACGGCTGTCCATTAGTCCTGACTTTGAAGTTATAGCGCAGAGAGTCGGCACCTGGGAGGAGACACGCAGGGGCTGGAACAAAAACACCCAAGGGCCCCTCCCTCATCCCTGACAGCAAGAGACCCCCTTATGCTGGGTGGCCCTTGTCCTGTTGCGTCCAGATGGCAGGGGCTCCGCTCCCACTTTGGAGAAGCTTTAGGGAGAGGAGGGGATGACGACAGGACGGGTGGACACACATGTGCCATGGGGGCCTGGACGGAGGAGGGGCTTCATCAGAACCCCCTGGTCCTCCTCGCTCCCATCTTCCTCCTGGTCTCTCACCCAGACCATTTCTGACAAGTCACAGGCTCAGGTCCGTCCTCTTCCTCTCACCGGGAAAGAGGCAGCCCGGCATGCAGAGGCCCCGAGCGGAACGGCTCCCGCAGAGAAGACCGCGGAGCGGTGTGGTGGTCTGTGCCCCACCGGCTGGCAGGGTCCCGCCCATTCCATCCCTCAGTGCCCCGTCCCCGTCCGTCCCCCCGTCCCCCCCCCGCCTCCCCCCCCCCCCCCCCCCCCCCCGCTGCTCCCTCGCCCCGGATTCCATTGCCCAACTCACAGCGGGGAGCCGTGGGTTCCCACAGCAAGGAGAGCAGAAAAAGGAAGTGATACTTTCATCCCCAGACAGATCCATCTCCTCTCACAGCATGAGTGCGCCTGCCTGGGACAGACCTGGGTTTTTAAGTCTTCCAGGGCGGTGGAAAAGAAAGTCTGCTTCTGCTTGCCTTATTCGGCCCAGAGCCGGCCCTGCCCGCCCATTTTTGGGCCTAGGTGAGTCAGCTTGCTTTGAGTTTGGGACATAAGGCACTTTTTTGAAGGTTCTTCACTGAGCTTGAGTGTCTCACTCCAGTCTCCTTATCTTCAGAGCAGAAAGGTGTGGGTGGTGGGAGTGGTGGGGAGTGCAGGGTGAGGGAGCACAGACAGGCAGGGAATTCTATTCAGTGAAAACACCTCAACAGTGTCACAGCCTGCCTGCCACCCCCTGCTAAGGCCCCTCCACTGCTGGGGCTGTAATTCTTGTAATATTTCACCCCACTCCCACCCCCAGCCCTCTGGGCCTTATACCAGCCAGGTCTTCTTCTCCCCATTGCCTATCACCCTCTCTTAAAGGGCACACGCTCCCAGGGATAAACCAAACACGCCATGGGAAGGCAGAGCATGGGGACTGTGGCTGAGAACACTGTATTGTATCAGGAGGCACATCTAACACTTCTCACAACAAATGCACTGTAACTACGGGTGGTGATAGATGTCAACTAGACTTACTCTGGTGATCTTTTCATAATAAATACAAATATTAAATCAATGTGTTCTACATGTGAAATGAATCCAATGTTGTATGTCACAGTGCGGAAAGCATGGCACTGGGTGTGGTGTGACACACGCAGCCCTGGGGCCTCCAACAGCAGCAAGCCCGGAGGTGAGGGCTCACGGGTACGAGAGGGGCCGGGGAGGGACCGGAGAGGAGTGTGGAGCTCACAGGAACCGGGGTGCCCTGGGCTGCCGCAGCGGGGATGGGGCCCTGGGGCCGGGGATTCCAGGAGCACCCGCCCCCAACTCAGTGTTCTCAACCTTTCCAGTGCCCGACCCTTTAATACAGTTCTTCATCATTTTTTAAAAATATATTTTATTGACTTTTTACAGAGAGAAAGAGGGAGGAATAGAGAGTTTGAAACATCGATGAGAGAGAATCGATCAGCTGCCCCCTGCACACACCCCACTGGGGATTTGCCCGCAACCAAGGCACATGCCCTCCACCGGAATCGAACCCAGGACTTTTCAGCCCGCAGGCTCTATCCACTGAGCCAAACTCTACCCACATACCACTGAGGTTTTGGCAGTTCCTCATTATTTTCATTGCTACTTCCCAACTGTAATTTTGCTACTGTTATGGATTGTAATGTAAATATCTGTGTTTTCCAATGTGTGGTGTGCGCGGTGCGGGCGGTATGTGGTGTGGTGTGTGCGGTGTGTGTGTGTGTGGTGTGGTTGAATGTGTGGTGTGTGTTGTGTATTGTGTGTGGTGTGTGTGGTATGTGTGGTGTGGTTGTATGTGTGGTGTGTGGTGTGTATTGTGTGTGGTGTGTTGGTATGTGTGGTGTGGTTGTATGTGTGGTGTGTGCAGTGTGAGGTGTGGTATGTGGTGTGTGTGGTGTGTGTGTGTGTGTGTGTGGTGTGTTTGAGTGGTTGTGTGTGTGTTGTGGTATGCGGTGTGTGGTGTGTGTGGTGAGTGTGGTGTATGTGGTGTGCATGGTATGTATGCTGTGTGAGGTGTGTGGTGTGTGTGGTGTGGTTGTGTGTGTGCGTGCGGTGTGTGTGGTGTGTGTGGTTTGTGTGTGTGTGTGGTGTGTGCGGTGTGTATGGTGTGTGTGTGGTGTTTGTGGAGTGGTTGTGTGTGTGGTGTGTGGTGCGGTGTGCGGTGTGTGTGTGTGTGTGTGGTGTGCGGTGTGCGTGGTGTGGTGTGTGTGTGATGTGCGGTGTGCATGGTGTAGTGTGTGTGTGTGTGGTGTGTTTGAGTGGTTGTGTGTGTGGTGTGTGGTGTGGTGTGCGGTGTGTGTGTGAGTGTGTGTGATGTGTGTGGTGTGTGTGATGTGGTGTATGATGTGTGCGGTGTGAATTGTCTGTGTGGTATTTGTGGAGTGGTTGTGTGTGTGGTGTGTGTGGTGTGTTTGAGTGGTTGTGTGTGTGGTGTGTGGTGCGGTGTGCGGTGTGTGTGTGTGTGTGGTGTGCGGTGTGCGTGGTGTGGTGTGTGTGTGTGTGGTGTGTTTGAGTGGTTGTGTGTGTGGTGTGTGGTGCGGTGTGCGGTGTGTGTGTGTGTGTGATGTGCGGTGTGCATGGTGTAGTGTGTGTGTGTGTGGTGTGTTTGAGTGGTTGTGTGTGTGGTGTGTGGTGCGGTGTGCGGTGTGTGTGTGTGTGTGATGTGCGGTGTGCATGGTGTAGTGTGTGTGTGGGTGGTGTGTTTGAGTGGTTGTGTGTGATGTGTGGTGTGGTGTGCGGTGTGTGTGTGAGTGTGTGTGATGTGTGTGGTGTGTGTGATGTGGTGTATGATGTGTGCGGTGTGAATTGTCTGTGTGGTATTTGTGGAGTGGTTGTGTGTGTGGTGTGTGTGGTGTGTTTGAGTGGTTGTGTGTGTGGTATGTGGTGCGGTGTGCGATGTGTGTGTGTGTGTGTGGTGTGCGGTGTGCGTGGTGTGGTGTGTGTGTGATGTGCAGTGTGCATGGTGTAGTGTGTGTGTGTGTGGTGTGTTTGAGTGGTTGTGTGTGTGTGTGTGTGGGTGGTGTGTTTGAGTGGTTGTGTGTGATGTGTGGTGTGGTGCGCGGTGTGTGTGTGTGGTATGGTGTTTATGGTGTGGTGTGTGGTGCGTGGTGTGTGGTGTGGTTGTGTGTGTGGTGTGTGATGTGCAGTGAAAGAGCTGTCTGTCACAAAGTCCCTGTACTTTTACTGCCATAAAGACAGGCCCTCGGCCACCGTTCAGAGCTTATTGACTCAGATTACACACGCTTCTAACACTGGTTTTTCACATTCTCAGACCACACAGATTAGAAGCAGCAAATGATAAGGGCGAGGGAAAGAGCTGCACCAGCTAGGCATCCTGACAGAAGTCACCATCAAAATGTTTTCAAGAGAATCCAAGATGGCTGCCCAGGTAAACACCTAGCCTCAGCTGCACACAACAATTCCAATAAAATACAACTAAAATATAAAATGGACATTACCCAGAACTACAGGAAAGTCGACTAACTGGAAATTCTACAACGAGAAGCAAGGAGAAAACCAGAAGGAAGCGCGGAGGAGCTGTAAAAAAGCCTAAGGTATGGAGACACGCAGTGCGCGTGGAGAGGACGGAGCCTGAGAGGAGGGTGGCTGAGTGCCTGGCTGGCGTTCCCTAGCGGGAAGGAGATAAAAGCTCCGACTGTGCTGGGCCCCAGTTCCGACTGCTCTGAACCCCAATTCTAGGCCAGACCCCGGGGACCCAGGCTCATCCATAGGGAGCCCGGCTGTAAGGCGGGACTCGGGGGAAACGGCGAAAGGAGGTCCCGGAGGCGCCCACACTGCGCGCAGAGAAGGGCCGGCCGGCTGTGCCGTGGGATTTCCCTGGCGGGAAGGAGACTGGGGCTCCAGACTGCTCTGAACGCCACCTCCAACTCCACTTCCTACTGAACTGAACCCCAGTTCCGGGGTCATTGGGGGAGAGCCTAGACTGTTTGGTAGCAGGCGAAAATCGAGGGCACCTTCTCTCAGAGGCGCTTTCAGCGAGTACTGAAGGACCCTGAGACTCAGGACCCACATAGGGCGGGGCTGACGGAAGCCAAGGCTGTAGGCTCCACCCTGAACCCCCCCTCCCCCCCCCCCCCGTCCCATCAGGGAAGCTGCGAAAATGCCGAGACAAAATAGATCACAAACAAAAGAAATGGAGGACAAAAAGCGCCTGGATATAGAGTTCAAATCTACGCTTATAAGGTTTTTCAAGAATTTCCTAGAAAAGATCAATAAGACCTATGAGGTTATGAAAAGAGATCAACTAGAATTAATAAGGAATCAACAAGAAATGATAAGGGATCAACAAGAAATAAAGAATACATTGTCTGAACTAAAAAATATTATACAGAGTCCTAAAAACAGAATGGAAGATTGCAAGAATCAAGTCAAAGATTTGGAACATAAAGAGCCAGAAGACACTCCTCCACAAAAGCTACAAGACAAAAGAATCCAGAAAATTGAAGATAATGTAAGAAACCTCTGGGACAACTTCAAGCGAACCAACATCAGAATTATGGGGGTCCCAGAAGAAGAGAGAGAGCAAAATACCAAAAACATACTGAAAAAAATAGTGACAGAAAACTTCCCCCACCTGGGGAAAGAATTAGACTTACAAGTCCAGGAAGCGCACAGAACTCCAAACAAAGGGAATCCAAAGAGGACCACACCAAGACACATCATAATTAAAATGCCAAGAGCAAAAGACAAAGAGAGAATATTAAAAGCAGTAAGAGCAAAGCTGGTAGTTACCTATAAAGGAGCACCTATACGATTGTCAGCTGATTTCTCAACAGAAACCATGCAGGCCAGACAGGAATGGCAAGAAATATTCAAGGTGATGAATAGTAAGAACCTACAGCCAAAGATAATCTATCCAGCAAAGCTATCACTCAGAATTGAAGGTCAGATAAAGAGCTTCACTAATAAAAAAAAGCTAAAGGAGTTCATCACCACCAAACCAGAATTATATGAATTGCTGAAGGGGGTTCTTTCAGAAGAGAAAGTAAACAAAGATAAAAATTATGATCAACAAATATGTAACTATCAACAAGTGAATCTAAAAACCAAGGAAATTTTAAAAAAATCTGATGAACAATATTAACTGTTGAATATAATAGAATCAGAGGTATGGAAGGGGAGTGAACTGATGATTCTTGGGGAAAAGGGGAGAGGGGATGTGGGAAGAGACTGAACATAAACTGTGCACCTATGGATGAGGAAAATGGGGAGTGTGGAAAGGGCAGAGGGTGGGGTGGGAACCTGGTGGAGGAGAGCAATGGTGGGGGGGGGTGGAAGGAACATTTGTAATAATATGAACAATAAAAATTTATTTTAAAATAAAATCTCAGACAAGTAAAAAAAGAAAGAAAATGTTTTCAAGTCCACGGACAGAGCGCAGTGTCTACCACTGCTGGGCCCCGCACCCAGTGCTGGGCCATGCAGATGAGCAAGGCAGCCCCAAAGGGTGAAAACTCCGGGAGGAGACAAGGCGCAGGGAGTAAGGAGTACAAACCTCCCCTCCCCCAATTACAAAAAAACACACGAAAACTAAATTCAGTAGAGGGACTGGCAGCGTATTTGCGCACTAACAGTTTCGGAAGTCATGGCCAATGAGTCACCAATTCAAGAAAGGCTGAAATGGAGTAACCTCAGTCTAAGAAGGCTGAGAGACAACACAATAGAAAATAGTCTCAAAAACGAAAGTTTTGGCACGTAGTTAAGAGGGGCTGAACTGGCTCTGTGTTCACCCTGGCAGGCAGGCAGGCCAGCGGGTGTGCTCAGCGGCACGGAGGTGGCACGCTGTGAACGGCTTTGGGTCACTGAGCACAGGCGCGCCCTCGCTGGCCACAGAGGCTGCGCACGATGTCCTGGGCCGAAACCGGTTTGGTTTTCGGTCTACTGACTGAAAGGTCCCAGGTTCTGTTGTGGGGTCGAACCCTGGGTTCAAAATAAGACCACCGGAGGCTGATGATTTATTTAAAAAAAGCAGGCAAGAATTTATTGAGCTGGCAGGGCAGCCGCAAGAGCACCACACGCAGGCGGACCCTACACGACTGCACCGCTTTAGGGGCAGGTAGTTCTTTTCAAAGGTTCTGAGAAGGAAAACCCCCATTCTGCAACAAACTGGAATTTTCTGCTGTTCTTCCTAGAAAAAATGTTGCTTTCTAGTTTGCTTTAGCCCGTTTGAAGAATGATGAAGATAAAATTAGCTGTCTGACCTTGTGGACCAGAGACAAGATATGCCCACAATATCAATACCATGCCAGGTGCATTTTTTTTTTAATTGGATAGAACAGCAAGTTTTTCAAGGCCAGCATCGAGATAACCACTAAGTGCACATAGGGCTGGCTCTTTAATGAAGAAAAAGAAAAAAAAAAAAGAAAAAAAAGGAAGTTCTGCCTGTAACCTTGCTTAGAATTTGAATTCATCCTATTTCAGTTCGATTCCAGTCAAGGGCATGTACCTTGGCTGCGGGCACATCCCCAGTTGGGGGTGGCAGCTGATCAATGATTCTCTCATCGATTTTTCTTTTTCTTTCTTTCTTTTCTTTTTTAAAATATATTTTATTGATTTTTTTTTTACAGAGAGGAAGGGAGAGAGATAGAGAGCTAGAAACGTCGATGAGAGAGAAACATCGCCCAGCTGCCTCTTGCATACTCCCTACCGGGGATGTGCCTGCAACCAAGGCACATGCCCTTGACCGGAATCGAACCCAGGACCTTTCAGTCCGCAGACCAACGTTCTACCACTGAGCCAAACTGGTTTCGGCTCTCATCAATGTTTCTAACTCTCTCATCTCTAGTCACTCTCCCCTCAGGGGCACCCCAGACAGCCCTAGGCCACCAGAGCCAGGCCCCACCCATTCTAGGGTACCTGGCTGTTCCCACCACAAAAACCATAAAGATGAGGGTGGCCAGTATCCCCCAAAACCGCTGGCCCTGTGACCCTCTCAGCGTGCTTATAAATACAGATTCCCAGGTCCCCGAGCTCCCGGATGGAAGTGTGCGGGCTGGAGGCCAGGAACCTGTGCTCTTATTTATTTATTTTTTTAAATATATTTTATTGATTTTACACAGAAAGGAAATGAGAAGGACAGAGAGTTAGAAACATCGATGAGAGAGAATCATCGATCAGCTGCCTCTTGCACACTGGGGATGTGCCTGCAACCAAGGTACATGCCCTTGACTGGAATCGAACCCCGGACCTTTCAGTCCGCAGGCCGACGCTCTATCCACTGAGCCAAACCGGTCCCGGCATCCTGTGCTCTTAGTAATCCCCCAGGTGATGCCTGTAGCCAGCAGACCTGGAAGATTCTGGAAAGCAGAGACCGCCTCCCTGGGCACAGGAATGGGCAGGGAGAGGTCTCTGAAGCTGCCTCTCCCATCCCAGGTCACCCTCTCCTCCCACCCAAGAGGAGACTTGAATGGAGTCACCTGGTTTTGGAGCAAGAAAGAGCCACGCCCCCTCTGGATCCTAGTTTCCACCTTAAGCAGCAGTCACAGGAAAAGCATTCACTGCGCACCTACTGTGTGCCAGTGCTGTGCCAACCACATTGGAGCCTGGTGGCCCCCATTCAGCCTCCCCCCCCCCCAGAATCTTGCACGGGACTCAACAGTCAACCATTAGGGGGGAGATCCAGGATTCAGGGCTAAGTCATTTGTCTGGTGTTCCCCACTGGTGATGGGCTGGCCAGGACCCACCCCATCTGCCTGACCCCAAGGCAGGACTCACCCCCTCCATGGTGAGTATTCGGTGTCACCCTTAACCTGAAGTCAGGAGGCGCTGAGGAGGCCAGGGTAGTCCTGGTCTGTGACAACTTGCTGTGTGACCTCGGGCAGGTTTATGGACCCTCCTGAGGGTCAGATTGCCGTCCTCCCCAGCTCATGAGGGTGGTGGACTGGAGCTCTAGGGGTAACCAGCCCCAGATAACCACGTGTGATTCCAACACTCACCACCAGGTGGCAGCAAGTCCATGCCTTGGCCACCCACACATCAAGTAGGAGAAGACATTGAGCCTGTCACTGAGGTCACCTTCATGGTCCAGACAGTGGGAAGCTGTAGCAACACACATCTGGGCTGTTCACTGCCCCTCGCCCCTATGAAAAAAGCAGGCGGTTTTAGGGGGCGTTGGGAGACCAGAGCTGAGCGCCCCACCAGGAGCAGGAGGCCTCAGTAAGGTGGGGAGGAGCAAGGCCTGGGGGCCCTCAGCCTCAGGGCAGGGATGGCTCAGCCAGGGGCCCTGGCAGGTGCAGTGACCACAGAGGGTGAGGTGGGTGGCCAGACGGGGAAGCCAGCAGACACTGTGGCCGGATGGGCTCTGCTCCTGTGGTCAGACGGGAAAAAGGTCCTCTCCTGGGAGCACAGGGGACAGCCCTCAGGCGGTGCCCTCCCTCTTTCTGGAACAAACTGGACCCCCAGAAGGCAGGACACACGGAAAAAAATTCCCAAAGTGATTCCATTCCACACGCCGTGACATAGTGTGTCCTTTCCTCTCTTCTGCCATTCCCAGCTCCCGGAATCCTGCACAGAAGGGTTGCTGTCTATCTTTCACTGGGTTATCTTCTCTTTCTGGTGCGCTGTCACAGCGATGAATTCTGTTTGGGGGAACAGGTAAGTCCAACATGTATGATCTGGGGGTTTCAGGGTGTCACTGGCTCTCACACTCTGCAATCGGGGTGGTATTTGTGCATGGAGTTGAGTCCAGTTCGAGCACCAAAACTGTAATTCCTCTGCCACGTCGCCTGATGGCCTGGGAGGGCCAGAGTAAGCCCGTGCTGGTCCAAAATGTTGGTGGTGAGTTTCAGTTTGTGGGAGTGACAACTGGGGACATCCACTGCTCCCTGGTAGCCGGGCTGTCCCGGTGGATATATAATACATTCTCTTTGGCATTTCAGGGCCGGCCTTAGCCGCCACCATCCAACAAGAATTGTGGAATCTACATCGACAGTCGTCGGCAGTTATAATGTCCATCAACAAATGCACTTGGCCTTCTTATCCGGCCCAGAACACCTTACTTTAAAGGGGGGACATTCGCCTTCCCGACTGGGTAATGACCGTCTCGGTGCCGCTTGTGGAACTGATCCCCACGTGCTTTGGCCTCAGGTGCACCTTGGGAGCGTCCTGCACCTCTTCCTCAGGCTCCAGGGTCTTCAGAGGCTCAGAGGCCCTGGGGCCGCAGGGAGGAGAAGGGGGTGCGGGGCCTCGGCCGCCCCACCAGTTGGTGCAGGATGGGCTTGGCCAGGGCGCAGTGGCCTGTTGGGAGGCAGAGTTGGCGGGAAGAAGGGCGGCTGGTGGCCCAGCACCGCGCTCATGGCGAAGTCCGGCGCCGCCCGGGGAGGTGGGAACGGACGGTAGGCCATGCTTGTCCGGGGACGACCCACCTCTCATGGAGAGGTCCCTCCGCTCCGGGCGGGGCGCTGGGCTTCATGGGGACAGTCCGCAGCTGCTGTTTTGTTTTGATTAACAGCAGCACATAGTTGTTTTTTATTTTTATTATTTATTTATTTTAAAATATATATATTTTATTGATTTTTTTTACAGAGAGGAAGAGAGAGGATAGAGTTAGAAACTGAAATATGGTAGCACTCATACTTGGGTAAAAAACTGCTGTTTGAATTTTAACCTTGCTATCTGACTTGACCTTCGATTACTTGCTTAAACAATAAGGTAGTTACAGGAGATTGACTCCCACTGACTCAATAGCTTCAGGGGTAGAAACTATAGATAATCTTTAGTTCTGCTTTTGTATTATGCGCAAGGTAGGGCCACATTCCAATGTCTAGCTGGATGTGACTGGGAACCCACCCTGCAGGCTGTCCCCAGTCTTTAGAATTTAGTCTTTAGGATTTAGAATTTAGAACAAAGGAAAATTCCTGTGGTTTGAACCTTTAAAAGGAATTGCCTACCCCTGAAACGGTGCAGTCATTTGGAGTCCACCTGCCTGTGGTGCTCTTGTGGCTGTCCTGGCCAGTCAATAAATCCTTGCTTGCTTTTTTAAATTAATTAATCAGCCTTCGGTGGTCTTATTTTTGAACCCAGGGTTCGACCCCACAACAGGAACATCGATGAGAGAGAAAAATCCATGAGCTGCCTCCTGCACACCCCCCACTGGGGACGAGCCCGCAACCAAGGTACATGCCCCGGACCCGAATCGAACCCGGGACCTTTCAGTCCGCAGACCGACGCTCTGTCCACTGGGCCAAACCGGTTTCGGCAGTTGGTTGTTTTTTAAATAGACAAAAAGAGAAAAACAACGACAACAAAAGCACCGGCAGGGAAGGTGTCCAGGGGGTCAGTGTCTTTGGGGAGGAGAATGCCGCTTGTGAAGGGGCCGAGGCGAGCGGTGGGGAGACAGGGTCGCGGGGCGACTGTCCCTGCGTCTGGCGTGTTTAAAAAGCCGCTGGGGGGGGGGGGGCAATGGAAAGATATGTACACATATAATACCTTAATAATAATAAGAAGAAGAAGAAGAAGCCGCCCTGAGAGCCGGTTCCGGAGCGGGAGGAGCGAGCAGGCTGACTGACCGGCGTCTGAGCGCGGCTGCTCGGCCCCAACCGGACCCTCAGCCCCGGGGCCGGGAACCGCGCCCCAGCCCCCAGGTCTCTGTTGCAAACGGACCGGTTCTCCTCGGAGACTTCCGGCCTTTTCTTCCCCTTCTCCGCCCCGCTCCCCGCCTCCTCTCTCCCTCCCCTCCTCGCAGGAGGCGCCTGCAGTCGCGCTGGACCCCGAATTCAACCGCAGGCGGACAGCGGGAGTCTCTCTCCTTAAAAAACAAACAAAAAAAATCGGTTTGGCTCAGCGGGTAGAGCGTCAGCGGAAGGGTCCCGGGTTCCATTCCGGTCCGGGGCATGTGCCTTGGTTGCGGGCACGTCCCCAGTGGGGGGTGTGCAGGAGGCAGCTGATCGATGTTTGTCTCTCATCGATGTTTCTAACTCTCTCCTTCTCCCTCTCTGTGAAAAATGAAATATATTTTTAAAAAAGAAAACCCCTGATTGACGGCCTCTCCTGGCAGCGCTATCAAAGGTGACCTGCACACTGGATTCCGTTCGCTGCCTCGCCTTCCTCCGCCCCGGGAATGGCGGAGGGTGTCCGGGTCTCAACCCGAATCTGGCGAAGCGTGTCTTGTTTTCAACCCGGATATGGCGGAGGGTGTCCTGTTTTCTTTTCTTTTTTAAAATATTTTTTTATTGATTTTTTACAGAAAGGAAGAGAGGGTTAGAGAGTTAGAAACATCGATGAGATAGAATCATCGATCGGCTGCCTCTTGCACACCCCCCACTGGGGATGTGCCCGCAACCAAGGCACATGCCCTTGACCGGAATCGAACCGAAGACCTTTCAGTCCGCAGGCCGACGCTCCATCCACTGAGCCACACCGGTTTCGGCGGGTGACCTATTTTCAGCCAGAATCTGGCGGAGGGTGTCCGGGTCTCAGTCCCCATCTGGCCGGGCTCTGCTCCGCGCCCTGAAAGGGGGGGGGGGATGGGGGGGGAGCGAATTCTTCCTCCATCCGCGCGGGCGGGCCGGGCGTGTGGGCGGCTGCCGCGGGGCGGGGCGTGGCGTGGCGGGGCGGAGGCATTGCGCTCCCTATAACAACATAGACATTGCGCCACTTCTCACGCTCCTTTCGCCATCTTCTGTGCTGTGGGCGTGAGAGGACCTTCCTGGCTTGGATTCAGCTCTGCCATTGCTTCCCGAAGTCTGGGCGTAAGGCGTCCGGAGCCCGGGGCAGGCCATATGGAGCGAGCGGGCGAGAAGCGAGGGAGCGAAGGAGAGACGGAGAGAGGCTCCGAGGGCCGCCCGGGCCTCCGCGGGGCGCCGCTCCCGCTCCCCGGCCAGGCGTCCGCGCGGAGGAGGAGGAGGACCCGGAGGGCACAGTGACCTGGCCCAGCGCCGAGGCCGACAGGTTTGGACCTGCATTTGGGGGGGGGGGGGGTGCGAGTGGGCGATCCAGCTGCCCCCGGGGGAGGGGGGGTCAGGCAACGCCCAGTAGGGGGTGGGGGGGGGAGGGGGAGCTTCTCCCCGGGCCGAGCGGGGCTGCAGCTGGGACAAGGGACAGCCCAAGACGTGCTTTTTTATTTTTATTTATTTTTAATTTTTAATTTTTTTCTTTTCTTTTTTAATAAATTTTTATTGTTCATATTATTACAAATGTTCCTTCCCCCCCTCCTCCATTGCTCTCCTCCACCAGGTTCCCACCCCACCCTCTGCCCTTTCACCACTCCTCATTGTCCTCATCCATAGGTGCACAGTTTATGTTCAGTCTCTTCCCACATCCCCCTCTCCCCTTTTCCCCGAGAATCGTCAGTTCACTCCCCTTTCATACCTCTGATTCTATTATATTCAACAGTTAATATTGTTCATCAGATTTTTTTTATTTCCTTGGTTTTTAGATTCACTGTTGATAGTTACATATTTGTTGTTCATAATTCTTATCTTTATTTACTTTCTCTTCTGAAAGAACCCCCTTCAGCAATTCATATAATTCTGGTTTGGTGGTGATGAAATCCTTTAGCTTTTTTTTTATTAGTGAAGCTCTTTATCTGACCTTTGATTCTGAGTGATAGCTTTGCTGGATAGATTATCTTTGGCTGTAGGTTCTTGCTATTCATCACCTTGAATATTTCTTGCCATTCCCGTCTGGCCTGCATGGTTTCTGTTGAGAAATCAGCTGACAATCGTAAAGGTGCTCCTTTATAGGTAACTACCAGCTTTGCTCTTGCTGCTTTTAATATTCTCTCTTTGTCTTTTGCTCTTGGCATTTTAATTATGATTTGTCTTGGTGTGCTTTGACTTGATTCTTGGGATCTTCCATTCTGTTTTTAGGACTCTATACTATTTTTTATTTCAGACAACGTATTCTTTATTTCTTATTGATCCCTTATCATTTCTTGTTGATCCCTTATCATTTCTTGTTGATTCCTTATTAATTCTAGTTGATCTCTTTTCATATCCTCATAGGTCTTATCGATCTTTTCTAGGAAATTCTTGAAAAACCTTATAAGCGTAGATTTGAACTCTATATCCAGTCGCTTTTTGTCCTCCATTTCTTTCGTTTGTGATCTATTTCGTCTTTGCATTTTCGAAGCTACAGATGGGGCGGAGTTTCAGGGTGGAGCCTACAGCCTTGGCTTCCTGGGTCTCAGGGTCCTTCAGTGCTCGCTGCCGCCGGCGCCTCTGAGAGAAAGGTGCCCTCGATTTTCGCCTGCTGCCAAACACTCTGTGCTCTCCCACAATGAGCCCGGTATTGGGGTTCAGTTCAGTTGGAAGTGGAGTTGGAGGTGGCGTTCAGAGCAGTCTGGAGCCCTAGTCTCCTTCCCGTCAGAGCAATCCCGCGGCACAGCCGGCCGGCCCTTCTCTGTGCGCAATGTGTGCGCCGCCGGGACCTCCTTTCGCCACTCCCCCGGGGTTCCGCCTTACAGCCCGGCTCCCTATGGCTGAGCCTGAGTCCCCGGGGTCTGGCCTAGAACTGGGGTTCAGAGCAGTCAGAATGGGGCCCAGCACAGTCGGAGTTTTATCTCCTTCCCACTGGGAAACACCAGCCGGGCACTCGGCCTCCCTCCTCTCCAGCTCCGTCCTCTCCTCACACCGCGTGTCTCCGTACCTTGGGCTTTTCCAGCTCCTCCGCGCTTCCTTCTGGTTTTCTCCTTGCTTCTCGTTGTAGAATTTCCAGTCAGTCAACCTTCCTGTAGTTCTGGGCAATGTCCATTTTATATTTCAGTTGTATTTTATTGAAATTGTGTGCGGCTGCAGCTAGGTGTTTACCTGGGCAACCATCTTGGATTCTCCCCTTTTATTTTTTATTTAAAAAAATATATTTTATTGATTTTTTACAGAAAGGAAGGGAGAGGGACAGAGAGTTAGAAACATCCATGAGAAACATCGACCAGCTGCCTCTTTTGCACTCCCCACTTGAGCGGCAGCCGCAGGCAGGACAGGTGCTTCAGGTGCGGGGAGAGGGGCCCCTGAGCCCCAACTGCCAAAGGGCATCGTGCGCAGCCTCTGTGGCCAGCGAGGGCGCGCCTGTGCTCAGTGACCCAAAGCCGTTCACAGCGTGGCACCTCCGTGCCGCCTCCGCTGCCGCTGAGCACACTGCCTGCCGGCCTGCCTGCCTGCCGGCCTGCCAGGGTAAACAGAGAGCCAGTTCACCCCCTCTTAAGTGCTAAAACTTTTTTTGAAACAATTTTCTATCATGTTTGAAAGAGATCCTTTTAAACAAGAGATACATTTTTTTTGCCGAAACCGGTTTGGCTCAGTGGATAGAGCATCGGCTTGGGGACTGAAGGGTCGCAGGTTCGATTCCGGTCAAGGGCATGTACCTTGGTTGCGGGCACATCCCCAGTAGGGGGTGTGCAAGAGGCAGCTGATCGATGACTCTCATCGATGTTTCTAACTCTCTATCTCTCTCCCTTCCTCTCTGTACAAAATCAATGAAATATATTTTTAAAAAAATAAATAAACAAGAGATACATTTTTCAGCCTTCTTTC